TAAATTTCTTAAAAGTGCCCCAGACGGTGTAAGATCGGCTGTGGGTCTATTATATGCAATTGGTGAAATAAATCGCTTAAAAGTGCTCCAGATGGTGTAAGATCGGCTGTGGCTCTACTGAAATCAAGAAATTGATCAAGTTAGACGGTACCTTAGAAAGGGTCAATGAAGTACTCAACCAGTAACCGGATGCGTCTGGAAGAAGAAGCTAGTTGCACTAATGAGCGGCTGGTGTCAGAGCATTTTTCTCTCAAGTATTTTTTGTGAAAATTCGCAAAGTATCAAATGAGAAGAGGAGGTCTCCAATTTATAGGAGGGGGGCAGAAGGCGAATCGTCACCTCCCCCTCCAATTCAAATTTGTATCCAAAATTTGAATTCAAAAAATAAAAAATGGAGGGAAGGAGATAAATCGTCACCTTCCCGGAATGTGACACGTGTCACAGGCGCCATGTGGCAAGCCATGTCACACCTGTGAGGGGAAAATGTTTCGGGTAAAAATCGCTTATGCCACATGGTCTAATATCGTGCTGACACGTGGCAGCCCTTTAAAGGCCCATTGGGATCCAATCGGATGCTGACACGTGGCATTGTAACCCTAATGGGGGAGCAGATCTTCATCTGCTATAAATAGAGGAAACTCGTCATTTATTGGTCATTCACAAACATCCATATACCAGAAACTGAGCAATATTAATTGCGGAATCTCTCTAAATTAGGGAGAAAAATCCATTTACTTTCCGCACTTTTAACCATTCGGGATCATACTAACTTGATCGTCGGAGGCGGAACTCCACCCAATTAGAGTTTTGTGGTTTTGCAGGTAGGGACGTCAGGTGCGCATACTCAGGATTGTAACTCTCCCAAGGGGCTCCAGAAACCCCGAAACAATATTAATTGCAAAATTCTCTTGGAATCTGAGAGAAAAACCTTTACATTTCGCACTTTTATACATCCGGACACGTTCTAACTTGATCGTCGGAGGTAGAACTCTACCCAACTGGAGTTTTCGTGGTTTTGCTGGTATAGACGGTTGACATCTATTCTTGGAATTGTAACTCTCTCGAGGGATTCCAAAAACCCCGAAACATTTGGCGCCGTGTGTGGGGAGAGTACTTCTAAGATGGCTTCACAGCAGTTTGTATCGCCTGCTAATGAGAACCAGCTTTTGGCCAGAGTAGAGGTCTTACAGAACAAGATAGTGGTGACGAATTCGATGTCGACACCTATGTGGCCCTAGATGGGTCACTTAGAACAAGACGCATCCGTTCCAAGGAAACAAGGGAACGGGGTGAAGACAAAGTTGGTCCAAGCAACCCAACCGTCAAGCCGACTGGGAAACCCTAGGCGGCGGAGGGTTCTGCCCCCGTTACTAGAAACGAACTCCTGAAATTCATGAAGAGTTTCAAAGGGGAAATCAAGGACCTAATAAACAAGTCGACTGGCACCAACATGGGTCAGTCGGCCAATAAGCCTTCTCCCTCAGGGAAGAAGCACATGAAGGATCGTGTGCCTACTCTTCACCCTAAACCAAAAGGGACGGATGGACCCATGATTGATCTATCAAAGCTCCATTTCCCTGAATCAGGGAAAAGGAAGGTCATCCGGCAAGTTCATCCAGATGGATATATTAAAAAAAGACTTACTTAGATATCCGGATGTTAATCCAGCAGAAGAGAAGTCAACAATTGTCTGAGTCGGCTTCAACGTCGACTTACCCAGACAGTTTCCAAAATACTTCGATGAAGTATTCAGAAACAAACCGAGAGAGCCAGTCACGCGGCTCGTCCGCACGTACTGGCCCTCAGATCATCCAACCGGCTCCATATATGCTCCAACAACCATACATCCCATATGGATCACCCTACATGCAGCCGACCTTCTTTGGGGGTCCAGCCAACGGACTGGCAGCTTGATGTATTCATTTTATATGTTATTTTATCCCCGTCCGTGATCATATTTAGGAGTATTTTTGGCTCTTTAGAGCCAATTTTATTACTAATACGCGTTTTCTAGTGTTTTCGTAGTTGTGGCATTATTTTACAGGAAATTGCAGATTTGGTGCATTTCTCGGCATTTAGTGGAGCCACCGCGAGCATTGGAGTTGAAACGTATTTATATGATCGTGTTTCAAAGCCCAAGACCGTAATTGATGATTTAATCCGGTGATTAAGGGCTCAATGAGGAGATTTGGAGCTTGGACAATTCGATCCCAGAAGGATGACGAATTGGGCTAAGGTAACAAGGCCCAAAGGACGAAGAAGAGTAAGCCCAAGCATCCGCCCGAGTGGGCAGTGCCCTCGCCCTAAGGCGCGCTCGCCCTGAGGCGCGCCCGGCCGGGCGAGAGGAGAAGGTCCGGGCACGCTTCGCCCGGATACGCGCCCGACCGGGCGCGAGGAAGCTTCAGGACACACAAAAGGCGCGCCCGGCCGGGCGGCCCTTTGCTTGACCGGGCGCGTGTTTCCGAAGGGAATTTTTATTTATTCTTTTTTGTAATTTTTATGTTTAGATTATTTTAGTAGGAGTATAAATACGGTTTTTAGTGAATGATTAAGCACGCTTTTTACGTTTTCAGTAGTATTAGCTAGTATTATTTTCTCCAAGATTAGATTTTCAGCTTTTTATTGTTCTTGAGTACTTTCTCTCTCTAAACCTTTTGATCAATAAATTCCATATTTTCTGTTAATTCTTGGTACGATTTCTTACTTACTTTATTTTCCGCAATTTAATTAATTTGTTATTTAAATGCATTCTTTGATTATCATGTCTAGTTTAGATTTATTTATGTCAGAGTAGATTTCTATTCTAGGGTTGTGGGGATCCATGAATAATATGAAGGGGTAATTTATTATTTTTTATTATTGATGTTTGATTAATTTCCTATTGATTGATTTAATGCTATGCAATTAGATTAGGCCTGGTTTAATTGTATGAGTTTTGCAATATTGATTCGAGATTCGACAGATGAGAATTGATGTTTAGGCTTAGTTTCAATAGACATGTTAATTTATTAATGGTTAGGTCGATATTCGAGAGATGAGATTTAATACCAGTAGATTAATTTTGTAATTACAATACATAGCGACAACCCTTTATAATCTGGTTAATTTATGCATTGATAATTGATCGTATGTTTTACCCTGGAGTATTATTTATTGGTGAACCTATACCCTAGAACTTTTTATTATTGATTATTCCTTCGATTAATTTTCTTAGTTTTATTATTAGTTCAATTCATACAAATACAAATTGGTTACCTGATAATTTAGATTATAATTGTTGATTAGGAATAGAAGAACACTGTTTCCCTGTGGATTCGACCCTACTTCCCTATCTACTTTAGTTAGAGGACTTAGGTAATTACTTTTGATTAGGTGATACGACTAGATCCTGTCACAGCTCCGGCTACTAAACCTTGGGGAACAGCCGTCGGCGTTCTCCAGGGAGATAACCGAGGCGGCTCAGCCGGCCAAGGTTAAGAATGTGTTGGTTGGTATCTATGACGGTACCACCAACCCGAAAGACCACCTAATGGCTTACACCAACCTCATGTACTTACAGGGGTTGGATGACGTCGCCTGGTGTCGATGCTTCCCGGCGACGTTGAAGGGCATAGCCCAACGATGGTTTGGCAATCTGCCAGCCGGTTGCATCAATAATTTCAAGACGCTTGCATAATTGTTCGCGTCCAACTTCTCTATGAATATCCCCGCCAAAAAGACAAGTCTTGACTTGGGAACTATCCAGCAGGGAGATAGAGAAGGGCTAAGGTCCTATGTCAGGCGGTTCAATCTGATGAGAATTCAGATTCAGGGGCTGTCTGACGAAGTCGCCTACACAGACTTCTTCAAGGGTCTGAAAGACGGGTCGACTTGGTCAAAAAAAGGGTGGCTAGCCGAAGCCTACATACAGGCAACGGAGCTCTGTGCCATCAAGCAGCTGTCGGACCCTAAAAAGTCCGACAAAAAGGAGAGCCGGTCTTCTCAGCCGGCTAAAAAAGAAGAGAGCAAGAAAAGAAAAGAAGTCTAGGTGGCGGACAATTCTGGTCAGCCGTCCCAGAAGAAAAAGAAAGAGTTGGAGCCGTACGTCCCCAAGTACGAGTTCAACAAGGACTGCTCCTCCATCCTCATGGAGATTAAAGACCAGTTGACCATTGAGAAACCGGCTGCAATGAAAAGTCCCAACAAAAGCCGGGACAAGAGCAAGTACTGCCATTTCCATGAGGATATAGGCCATGACACCAATGGCTGTTATAGCCTCAGGCGGTTACTAGATCGTCTAACTGGCGAGGGGGTTTTGAACTCCTACATTTTGAAGTCCAAGGGTAACCCCAGAACAAACAGTGGACTGCCGTCCAAGAAGCCTGACAACCTTGCTATAAGCTCTGACACTAATGAAGAGCAAATCTTTACTATAGCAAGCGGTTTCGTGGGAGGGGGTCCTACCATCCGGGGTACCAAGGAAAACATCAGGAAGCTGGAGGTCAACTCAGTGGATGAGGGCCAGGCATCCAAAGACTTCTTCCCTGAGGTAATCATCTCTGAGAAGGACCGGGGCAAGGTCAGGCGGCCTCATGATAACCCCATAGTCATCGAATGCAAGGTTTCCAACCAACGAGTGGGCCGGATCCTCATTGATACCGGGAGCTCGTCTGACCTTATCAGCTATTGGTGCTTCACTAGGCGAAAATACGTAATCCCCACCGGTTCAAACCCCCCATTTAGCACCGATTTTGAACCGGTGGGGATTTGGGGGTGCTAAAATCCCATACATTTCGCACCGATTCTGGGGGAGCACCGGTGCCAAAAACTGAACTTTTCGCACCGGTTTTATCTTAGAAACGGTGCCAAAAGTCTCCAAAAATATTTTAAAAAATCTTTTAGCACCGGTTCTTTTCCAAAACCGGTGCCAAAAGTGCTTCAAAAAAATAAAATTTTTTTTATTTTTTTTTTATCAATTTTTTCACTTAAATTGTACCAAATACTTATATATAATACTAATATACATAAAACACATATATTTTGTTCAATAACTTGTAATATTACACTTTAAAAAACTGAAAAAAAAAACATATAGCTGTTTTGTTGGGCCTGGTGCTGTTACATTCACAAGCATAATCAAAATAGGGATTAAACAACGTTGTGAACGATAGTGCATGTCAACAAGATAATTATAAAAGCTGCCTAGAACACCTCCGATAACTCCAAGAACTATCACAGCCAGGATATCATAACTACTGCTGTTCTGCTTCTGCTACTGCTATTGCTGTTCTGCTACTGCTTCTACTACTATTGTTCTGCTTCTGCTACTTTGTGTTATGCTTTCTGTTCAGCTATTGCTATTCTGCTACTGCTTGCTTTGCTTTGTAAACCCATGTTAGAAATCCTTGCTTTGTAAGAACATGTGATCTAATGGTCCAATCTGAATGAATAATAATCTGTCTACTTGATTAAAAGTTCACCTATGAACTTCTGTATTACAGCACCTATAAGTCACGTGTTTTGCATTTTAATTCACTATATCGTCAATCTTGCTAACTCCCTCCTAAATCCATCATTTATAAATCGATTTTCTCTATTTCTGTAAGAAGGAAAGAAAGCATGTGTTAGTGGCAACATATCTTTTTTAAAATACATCTAAGATTAGCTTTTAATAGATGACATCAGTAATTGGACCTCTTTATATTATCAGGGTAATCATTGCAAAGAAATAGCTAGCAAGGCTTACAAAATTAGAGGATTCTTCAATCTAGAATTGAAGTTGAGAGCATTTGTATAGTGTTCACAAAGAGAATGTATATAGTTATATATAGAAAACTAAGGCTGAAGAAAACAGCTTTTTTAATAGTAGAAGGGAGAGGGAAAAGAGTAGGAACTGTAAGCAAAGGTAAATTATTAAGCATACCTGCAGCCAACTCTAATCATAGACCAACATAAAGCCGTCCATGTGAAAAACAAGGGGTGTTTAAATATAGGGCAACCTGGGATAGAGATTGGCCTTCGGCATTATTTATAGTCATGGCAAAACTAAGCTTAATAGGGAACTATTTCCTCTGAAATTTGAATGGATAGTTTAATGTCTCAGAAAAATAAAGGAATCTAAGCAAACCAAACCGGAAAAACAACCAAAGGAACAAATCATCACAAAAGCTTAATAAAACGAACCCCCCTGATAACACAGTACTCAAATTAGATTTTCCTATTCAATGCCATACTATACAAACAATAACAAACCTAATTTGTAATTTGAGTAGTCAAATCATATAAAATGCACCAAACAAAAACCATTCTAACCAACAAATATAGTAAAGTCTGAATTTTTCAAACTAAATTATCATTAGCAAGCATCATTCTGAGTATCACTGTACAATCCAATATGATTATAAAGTCTAGCATCATAGTAGGGTAGTTTGAAATCTATTCAGTTTTTGGTGTCTAGAATTAGCAGATTTAGCTTTATATAGGTTCAGTAATCAAGGTTCATTTGTTAAAGTACACTGTATAATGAAAAAAAAGTAGCCTCTGAAACACCATATACTTACAGCCAAAAGAAAATGAAGAGAAGAGAATAAGACTCTCCAAAACCAAACCACTCTATATATAACCAAAGAGAAAAGAGCAACACAACAATTTCACAATTAAATAGAAAGCCAATAGTACAAAAACAAAACAACAAGCATTAAAATTAGGAACAAATTACACTGTCATGTTGTATGTTGTCATAACTACTCCAACGTCCCATGGAACCCCTCTTTACTTGCAATTCTCAACAGAGCATCAGATAATTGTGGTCAGTCAAGTCCAAATCTTCCCAATATTGAGCACAAGGTAACTATAGGCTGACCATTCTTACTAATTATACCCAAACAGATGGTTACTCTGTGCTACACTTTTGAGATTTTGCTTCCAAGTTGAAATAATTGCTCACTATGTTATCACATTGAATAGAAAAGGCTTTGTCTTACTACCTTAAATGCTAATTTTCACCTTCCTCTCTAATCATTTGAATTGCTTATAAGACCACTCGTTGCAAAGCTCTTAAGCTGAAGAAAGGGAATTCCTTGTTCAATCTATTAAATCAATTGTATTATAATCCATATTCAGATTCAACGTAAAGTTATAACATAAATAAACCTCTTTTGAAGATTAGCCGGGAATATAGATTTCTCTCTAAGTTGAAGCCTAAGAGCTCGAAGTTCATGTTCCATGTCCATAACCTTTGGATGAAAAGCACTCATTAATATACAAGGTCAGGAGCTAAATATAGGGAAAGAAGAGATCAGGAAAGGAAGATTCAGGAAATATTAAGGCAAAACATCTGCATGAGCTATGTCACTTGCAAATTACAAACACAGTGCTTTTGACAGACCAATAAGATAAATCAAAAGATAATTTGAGGTGTCCTTGAAGTTTTTATAAATATAAGGTGATATAACCATGATCTTTTACCGAAAGACTTTTACTAAAAGTACAATAAAATTATGTATTGACACACCTTGCATAGCTGATGATTCAATCTGATTCGTCTAGCTTCCTGAACCTCATCCACCAATGTCTCAATGTCCTAAATTAATCAAGATCAAAACATTAACTTTTCACATAAAATTAACACCATATCTATTCCTCATTGCCAATTATAATCATTAACTTTTCAATAATTACCAACTTACCACCAAATATTATCAGTCATAGCTAAATAAACACCACTAAACATTCAACAATCGCTCATTCAGCTTAGAAGCAAGAATAAATTCACCATTCTTAAAGCAGGAAGAAAATCAAACAGGTTTAAGCAAGCAAAATACAAATCTACATAATAAAACGTGAGGAATACTCTGGTTATAATCACAAAACAAAAATAAACAACTAAAAATCAGAAGTCTACAACGAAATCAAACAGCGATGTATCGAATACACAAGCCTGAAAAAAATTAGGGTTAAACAACACTAATAGCAGAAAAACATGAATTAAAAATAAAAAAAAAGTAAAACCTAGGTTTAGATATAGGGAGAAAAAACCAGCGAGAGAAAGCGCTGCCATCCTTAGCACGCTTAAGAGAAAGAGTAGCAAATATCCAAGTACAGAAAGGTCCGCACATGGATCAGGATTCAATCTGGGAAATAGAGAGGGATATTGTAATAAGTTTCTCTCAAACCAGTGACTGAAGCTCTAATAAAATACATGGGAATGGAAATGCGCATTTTATATTTACAAGTATAAAAACCTCTAATGTATTAGTATCCTTACACAGCACAGCTGAACCTACGCCCATGGCAAGGTTTCAAGAAAACACAAAAGCTGGGATGAGGCCTCAGAACTGGGATAATAGTTTTTTCATAGGCACATATTGACAAGAGCTCAAAAATACCACTAGTCATCATAGGCCTTTCACACAGCTTTAACAAAAAAGCACTTAAGAAAAACATAAGTTGCTCATGCAAAAAGACAAGAATATCAATAGACCAAGTCAAAACTGAACAAGTACACCAAAAGGAAAGCAACAAATTTCAATGTAAAACTAACCTGTTCACATCTGAGGAAGAATCTCAAAACTTGGCCCACTCTTAAGGCAGGCTACTTTTGGCCCACTCTTGAGGCACACTCCATGGAAATGGTGAAGAAGTGTGTTAAGTGTCAAAAATTTGGCAAACTCATACACCGTCCGGCCACTGATCTGACGGTTATCTACAGCCCGGTTCCATTTGCAAAATGGGGCATGGATATTCTGGGTCCATATACGCCTACTATAGGCAAACGGAGGTACATCCTAGTTGTTGTAGATTACTCCACCAAATGGGTTGAGGCAGAGGCGGTGAAGGGCATAAAAACAAAGGATGTCATCTCCTTCATTTGAAGGAACATTATCACCCGGTTTGGGGTACCTATGTCTATGGTCTTTGACAATTGCCATCATTTTGAGATGCCTACTCTCAAGAGCTGGTTAGGAGATCAAGGGATCTCACATTGTATTGCATCAGTCGGCCGTCCTCAAGCAAACGGCCAAGTTGAAGCCTTCAACAAACTCATCTCAAACGACATCGAAAAGAAAATTAAGAGGGTTGGAGTTCTATGGGCAGATGAGTTGCCTCATGTCTTATGGGCCATCAGAACAACTGAAAAGGGGGCAACAGGTAAAACCCCGTTTCTCATGACATATGGCACTGAAGCCGTCTGGCCTATAGAACATTATGAGCCAACTCTTCGAATCATGCTCTATGATGAAGAGGCTAATTGGGAGGCCATGCATCTAGCATTGGATTCACTCCCGAAGCGCAGGGGCAATGCCGCCTTGCGTCATGAGATTTACCGTATGAGAATGACGAGAGCCTACAATAGAAGAGTGCACAAACGACCCTTAAAAGTGGGGGATTTTGTGTTACGAAAGATGGAGGCAACCGGTAGGGTCAATGAGCAAGGGAAGCTGACCCCTAATTGGGAAGGCCCTTACCTGATTTTTGAAGAAGTTAGAGGCGGCACCTACCGTCTGGAAACTCTAGATGGCAGGCAGCTAGCCAGAACTTGGAATGTAGATAACTTGAAGAAGTACTTCTTCTAAAGGCTTGTAAATCTTTGTAAATAGAGTATGTTAATCAAATGATGCTTTATTTTCACAATCATTGATCTATGTACAAAGTCCCGCCTGTGCAATGCACAATCGGGCTATTTTTGAGGCTAATGGCTGGATTTCATTTATACAACCAACCACCTACTCCAACATGGGCAAGCAATCGGCGACGCCCATTTGGGTGAATTCGTCGAAGAGAGTATCTCCCATTTAGGTGGTACATTATTCTATAAATCATAACTCAAGTGGCTTTAACCAACTGACTAGGTTAAAGATAACTCACGGCCGTTTGATTAATCAATAGAGATCTAGATACAGCCGGTCGTTGTTCCAAAGCAACGCAGACGGTAACTGATGTCTTGATAAGATATAACCGGTCTTTGCCCAAAGGCACTACAGCCGATTACAAGTAAAAATTAAGCAAGGTTAAAACCCTAGCAGCTAATTCATAACCTGGTTATGATACCAACACCTGACCAATGGCCGCCTGCTTCCTAACAAACGGCGACGACAGTTACCCAAAGGGTAACTCGCAGCCGATTAAGCGAATAATCTAGGTTTGCCCTAGCCGGCACCGTCTGCTAATCCAACTTAGAGAATAATTATACTTCTTTAAATATGGTCAATGACCGTCTGTTACACTTCCGGATGCTTGATTGGACGGCTGCCCGCTTAGGGTGGGGTAACTACCAAGCAAACAACCGTCCAGGGGCAAATAAGCCAATGCATCCAACATACCGCATGTGATGAGTCACTTGGCAAAAAGAAAAAGATTTGTACGAGCATACTAAAAAATTGCAAAAATTAAAACAAATATCAAATAAAAGCAAAATCAACCCAACCGGTAAAATTCATAAAAAGTGGCTAATAGCCAAATGATTGTCAGCCGAACCTACGTACGGGGAAAAAAAATACACATCAAAGCAATACATACGGTAATAAAAGTTACAGCCGGAGCTTACCCCGCCGTCTTTGGCCACCAGTTGGGCCTTTTTTTCTCTAACTGATCCTTCCAGAAATGAGCAGCAGATTTAGCAAGTGTCTTCTCTGGAGGCACCATTTCTAATCCTTTCTCTGCAAAAAAGAAAATCAAAGTCAAATGCCATTCAAGAATGATATAGACGGCATAAAGTGCCGGTTATTAGTCAACATACGTCTGCTAAACATTGTGCTAAGGCCATAGGCGGAAAGGAACGCCTTGCCTTTAGCCAGTCCGGATGATGGACCCAGTTCTTGGGGACAATGATTTTAGTCCCATCATCCAAAGGCATGGAGGTTCTCTTGAAGAATCCCGTCTCCATTATTTGCATCCAGGACTCTTCCGGGACGCGGGGAAGGGCGCATTTCTTCTCAAGGAGAGCTGGGTTCTTATTGTATCGACGCAGCCGGTGGTTCAGACGCAAAGATGGAGAAGAAACCAAGTAAAACTTGCTTTTCCAGCTACTCCATTTAGACGGCTTCTCCAACGTCATCATGTACTCCGGGTGCGTGGTCAATGTATACCACGCATTCTAGCCGCCGGGGGCACGACTAAGGTAGTGCATATGGGCAAACGCCTCCCAGCTAGGCGTTATGTCCTACATCTCGCAAGCGGCTATATATCCTAATATGTTGACCTAGGAGTTGGGTGTTAACTGCCAAACGCCAAGGTCGTAGCCTTTTAAGAGGCCTTTTATTGCATTGTGGAGGGGGAACCGGAGGCCGGCTTTGAATGCCGCCTCATAGAAGCCGAAATAGTCGTTGACATGATCAAGGTCGTCATCCCAGACAACGGTTGCCTTCACAGGCGGTACTACAATCTCCCATCCATCCATAACCGGGCACTTCTTTATAAATCCGGGGAAGGTGGCGTTCAGAGTGACAACATCCCTGGCGGACATGTGCGCCTCTGTTGGATTATTGATTGAGGGCCATTTATACTCCTCCTCATCCCCTTGGGGGGCATACGGTTCTAAGGAAGACTCTTTAGAGTCTGACTGTTAGACGGTCTCCTCACCGCCTATATCCTCGGACTCTTCTAAAATGTCATTATTAGGTGTGCTAGGTACACCCGGATGGTCATAATGTACAAGGTCATCCGGAGCTTTGGCTGAGCCGTCTGATCGGTAGTTGGGGTCTACAACCATCCGTCTCGTCCGAGCCATTCTGTCCTACACATGAACAGTGACGGTCGGATTTGTGGAAGAGTAAGGGTGGTCCAAACACCCCCAGACGGCATCCCCAGTCCTAGACGCAGCCTTATCCGGTGACCGGCTAACAACTGTCTTAGGCTGTGCCGTGTATGTGTATTGGGCGAGTCCATTATTTTTTACAGGCTATAAAACTGGAAAAACTCAAAAAAGTTGCAAGGGGTAGAGACGGTACCTCGAAGATGTTTTGAGTATGGGGGAGGTTAGCTATCTGGATCAGCAGCCGAAAATCTCTTTGTTGCTTGCTGGATACCCAGACGGTTGCCCGGATGTACCCTCTTGAAGATCAATGGAAAGTTGTTGAAAAGCTCAGACGTTTCTCTGAAGTTTTGCTTGAAGATACCCTAGACGGTTCACTGGCTGTGGGTGTATTGAAAGCTAGGAGAATGTCAAAAGACCCTCAGGCGGTTTTAATCAGTTTTGAATGAAAAGCACTCAGACGGTAGCTGGTTGAGTGAAGAAAAGAGAAGGTTATGCAAGAAATAGCAGCCGGTCTCAAAGCTCGTTTCTCAGAAAAAATTCTCAAAAGGAATAAGTGTTGAAAATGAAGGGGGGGACCTCTACTTATAGAGAAGAACCCCAGAAGGCGAACCGTCACCTTCCAAATTCAAATTCAAAAAAAAAAGAAAAAAAAAGAAAGAAAGAGAGAGAAAGAGGCAAAACGTCACCTTCTCAGATCATGACGCCTGTCATAGGTGCCACGTGGCAAGCCATGTCACACCTGTGAGGGGCAAATGTTTAAGGTAAAAATACCTGGTCCAAGTGGCCCAATAGCATGCTGACTCGTGTCAGCCTCAGAAGGGTTCTGGTATGGCGACACGTGGCACTTTAATCCATGAAAGGGGAACTGATCCCCAAACACTATAAATAGAGGAAAATCCTCATTTATTGCAACATTCAGAAATATACACAAAAAACCCGAGCAATATTAATTACAGAATTCTCTCGGAATCTGAGAGAAAAACCTTTACCCTCCGCACTTTTATACATCTGGACACGTTCTAACTTGATCGTCGGAGGCGGAACTCCACCCAACCGGAGTTTACGTGGTTTTGCAGGTACAGACGGTCGACAACCATTCTTGGAATTGTAACTCTCCTGAGGGGCTCCAAAAAACCCAAAACATCTTGTATTTTACTTTACTCAATATTAAAGTATGATAGTTGGGGGGGGGTCCACTAGGAGAGAATAAATTAGTAAAATATTGTGAAAAGTTTCCAAAAAAGGAAATGAAGTAAGTAATAAAATACAGTCGCTAAAGGAACAAGGAGCAAGTGATAAAATACGAAGGAAGTACCTTCCAACCTTGAGGTTATGGGTCAATTCCCATCAGAGACACTTTGAGGGTGGGGATCCCTTACCCTTTTTCCCTTCGCTTTCAAAGTGTCTGACTCGCTAATACTGAACAAAAAAACTCGTGAAGGTTGGTCCTTCTCCTTTACTTTAAAAAAAAATATAGTAGGTCTTGCAATAAATTTTAGAAAATTTATAATGTAGGAAACATAGGATGAATTTTATAATATAAAGGACCTTGTTTGGTTGCACTTCAATAAAGGCAGAACTACATATTCATGCGAAATGTACTTGTATGTACAGTAGTTGTTTGATTAACATTTAAATAAAAGTAAAAAAGTAGGAAGTGGAAATTCCTTGGGAAATGAGAATCACTAACTTTTATATGTAATTGGCCACACGATGGTATGGTCAACCACCATAGGATTACTCAGTTAGAGTTATAAGGGCTACTTGATTAATAA